TGTGAACAATATTTGAGAGAAATAGGCCTTTTGTGTACATAGAAAAAGTCTTAGATCTTTGAGTTCAGCTCATGAAAATTGGGGGCAAAAACAAAAGTGTTGCATTTATAATTTTGTTCAGTGTAGATAGATAGATAGATAGATAGATAGATAGATGATAGATAGATAGATAGATAGATTAGCATTTTAAGAGTAATATACATGTCAGAAAAACATCCCTTTTTTGTCATCAGTTTTTTTTTTTCTTTCATGATTTATAAAACACAAACATGAAAGCATGGTGAAGTGCCAGAATCTTCCACACTTGCCAGGAAAAAACTAAATGGGGATCAGGGGTTGGATTTACTTTTTTTGATTAACCTTTATTGTTTTTTTTTTGTTTGTTTTGTTTTGTTTTGTTTTGTTTTGGCCTTTGCAATTTGAATGAATTTACACATCAGACAGACAGCCAAAGAGAATGAATGAGTTTCTCCTCTAATGCTGAAATCTAGGGCCCTATCATACACCCGGCGCAATTCAATTCAATTCAAGTTTATTTGTACAGCGCTTTTCACGATACAAATCATTGCAAAGCAACTTTACAGCAAATTAAGTTTCTACAATATTTAGTGGTAGCTTATCAGTGGTGACTGTCAGTCAATGTACATATGGCAGAAATGTACGGAAATATCAATTAAAGACGTAATCAAACAGACGATGAACACTATTAACAGCAATTATTATATGATGCAATCAAACTTATAGCAAAATGTGGTAGTTCTGCAAGTTGTTTCAGGGTTGGCATCATCTGAGGTCCTATGAGGGGTTGGCATCATCTCTTCTCAGGTGTTCTGGATCCAGACTGAAGCTTGTGTAAATCCTAGTTACCACAGGATGTCAATCCCGTGGCAGAAACAGAGAAACAAATAGAGACATAATTAGCGTAGCTGCTGTTCCAACCTCTTCCTGTCCTATAGTTGTAAAGCACTGCAGTTTATCTTTTTGTGCGATGAATGAAGCTGAAGTATTATACGTTGTAGAATCTACATTTGCTATTGTATTTAATATGTTATCTATTTTATCAGTGAAGAAATTCATAAAGTCATTACTATTAAACTGTGAGGGAATATTTAGATCGGGTGGCGTCTGGTTATTTGTTAATCTAGCCACTGTGCTAAATAAAAACCTTGGATTCTTTTGGTTATTTTCTATGAGTTTGTGGATATGCTCGGCCCTGGCAGCTTTTAGAGCCTGTCTATAGCTGGACATACTGTTTTTCCACGCAATTCTAAAAACTTCCAAGTTAGTTTTTCTCCATTTGCGCTCAAGACTACGAGTTTTTTTCTTGAGAGAATGGGTATTACTGTTGTACCATGGCGCAGTACGTTTTTCTCTAACCTTTTTCAATTTGATGGGGGCAACAGCTTCTAATGTATTAGAGAAGATAGTGCCCATGTTGCTAGTCATTTCATCTAGTTCATGTGTACTTATGGGTACACAGAACAGTTGAGATAAAACAGGCAGGTTATTTGTGAATCTGTCTTTGGTGGCTGGAACAGTAGTTCTGCCTGGACGATAATTGCAATGCAGCGCAAGGCGCAGCGCAAGTGTTTTTGCTAGTTTCAGCCCGACGCAGTTCTCATTTTCCGGTCCTGCGCCGTGTTGTTTAAATAGCAAATGCATTTGCGCCCATTTGTGCGCCCATGGAAGTGCTGGTCTAAAAAAGAGGTGGGTTCAGGCGCATTGTTGGCGCGTTGCTATTTTGAGGAACTGAAAATAGACTGCGCCATAGACCAACTCAATGAAAAATTACATTCCGTCATGGCGCGAGCGCAACTGGCTTTTAAAGGGGATGGGAGATGAGACTCTGATTGGTTTATTGCACGTTATGCCCAAAAAAACAACCATTACTCATTAAGAGAATAGGGACAACCCGTTTAGACCATGTAGCCGGAGCTCGCCAACCATTTTCCCGTCGTTAAACTAGCAAAAGTGGATTCGGACACGCCCTGAGTGCACCTGTGCCGTGCGCTTTAGACCATGCGCTTAGATCGTTAAAATAGGGCCCTAAAACGGCATCATTTGTTGGATGTTGCTGGTCCTGGTCTAAATAATGCTCAGTCCCTGGCCTCACATCTAGGTGTGTGGTCGGTACAGCAAGTAGAAAGAGTTCTGAACATTTTTAAACAGAAACTCAGAAGAAGAAAACAATATGTTAATTGACTTTTATAATGGGAAACTGGTTCCTAATAATACAGATCCCTTCCCAAGTATTGTTTTTAGTCCCAATCTCAAAGGTCTGTCTGGACCGAGGGGGTTAGAAGAGTTAAGTTTGCAGGATGTTCAAAGTAAAGTTTTATATAAATGTTTTGTAAAAGTCTTAAATAAAGCAACTTTAATAGAACGTGGTGATACAGTGTGGAGAGAGAGATTGGGATTGGATGATGAAGTTACACCTGTTTGGAGAGTTTTATACAAACCACCAATTGAAAAACGCACAGGTGATATTCAGTGGAGAGTTTTACATGGCGCAGTTGCTGTAAATGCATTTGTGAGTGTTATTAATCCCAATGTATCAAGTGATTGTCCTTTTTGTAAAATAAGGGAGACAATTTTTCACAGTTTTTTAGAATGTTCAGGGTTGTATGATTTGTTTTGTTTTCATGATGTTCTTTTCAAGAATTTTGAGAAGACTTTTTCTTCTGAGATTTTTATTCTTGGCCCTAAGTATAGTGTGGTGCAAAGAATAAAAAGTAAATTATTGACATTTTTAATTGGGCAAGCCAAACTTGCTGTTTATATAACCAGGAAAAACAAAATAGAGGGTAGAGAATGTGGTTATTAACATGTGGTTATTGATTTTAAAAATCTGGTAAAAAGCAAGGGTTATGCTTTTTCTATAAAATGATGAATGATTTAGAAAGTTTATTTTTATTTTTATTTTTTTGTATAGATGTGACCCTGGACCACAAAACCAGTCATAAGGGTCAATTTTTTGAAATTGAGATTTATGCATCATCTGAAAGCTGAATAAATAAGCTTTCCATGATGTATTGTTTGTTAAGATAGGACAATATTTGGCCGAGATACAACTATTTGAAAATCTGGAATCCGAGGGTGCAAAAAAAATCTAAATATTGAGAAAATCACCTTTAAAGTTGTCCAAATTAAGTCCTTAGCAATGCATATTACTAATCAAAAATTAAGTTTTGATATATTTACAGTAGGAAATTTACAAAATATCTTCATGGAACATGATCTTTACTTAATTTCCTAATGATTTTTGGCATAAAAGAAAAATCGATAATTTTGACCCATACAATGTTTTTTTGGCTATTGCTACAAATATACCCCAGCGACTTAAGACTGGTTTTGTGGTCCAGGGTCACAAATGGTGTTTTAATTAAACTATTTGTTTACAGTTGTATATTAAATGTTGATCTTTAATACCAAGTTACAATAAGCTCTGGTCTTTTTGCTCCCCTTTTTTGAGTGTTACTGATATTTTGATTTGTTGTTCTGCTGACTTTGCAATGATTGATTCAATAAAGTGTGTTGAAAACTCTCAACACTCTCTCTCTCTCTCTCTTTTTATATATATTTGCCTGTGTTCCTGGATTTATCCCTCTAGTCTCGCCCTTTTGATTCTGTTCGCCGATCGTTGACCTTCGCTAGCCCTAGGATTATTCTTGTGTCTTGCCCGCCATATTCCTGTTTGCCCTTGTTCGACCCTGCCTGTGTTTCTGACCTCTCTGCTTAATAAAGCCTGCACATGGATCTGCATGCCTCACGTCTTGTCAGCCCCGTTACAGAATACTCGGCCCCACAAGGATCCAGCAGCTGTTCAAGTGGACATTGGCCAGGTATGGACACTGCAAGAATATTATTAGCCCTTAAACAAGGCCCGCGATCGCTGGAGAACTATATTAGAGAATTTGTAGCAATCGCGCAGTATTCAGATTTACCGGACTGTCTTTTGATAGAGTTTTTTTGTGATGGCATTAATCGACCTCTTAGGTCTAAGCTTAGAGGCGAGGGTCCACGTTCGTCTCTCGCTCAGTTTATGGATTATGCTTTGTTGACTGTTGACTCTTTGTTTACTGTGGGTGTCACGGAGGAAGAACACGACAAACCTGTCATGTCAAGTTCGAAGGAACCTTTGCTGAGCTCTCCCTGTATCCTGAGGGCACTACTGTAGAACCTCCAGAGGTGGCGGCACCCGCTGCAGAACCTCCAGAGGTGTCAGTAGTACCCACCTATAAACTTCCTGTTTGTCCTGTCACGGCTATGGAGGCCGTTTGTGAACTCTCTGCCTGTCCTGTCATGGCTAAGGAGGCCGTCTGTGAATCCTCATCCTACCCTGTCACGGCTATGGAGGCCGTTTGTGAACTCTTTACCTGTTCTGTCACGGCTATGGAGGCCGTTTGTGAAAGAACTGTCTGTCCCATCCATGAGACCGTATATGCTCTGTCTGTCTCTTGTGTCTCAGTTTTCCCCAGGTCCCAGTCCCTACCAGGGAGGACTCCTGTTCCCGAGTATAGCCCACGGAGGGCTCCTGTTCCCGAGTTAAGCCCAGGAAGGGCTCATGTTCCCGAGTTAAGCCCAGGGAGGGCTCCTGTTCCCGAGTTAAGCCCACGGAGGGCTCCTGTTCCCGAGTTAAGCCCACGGAGGGCTCCTGTTCCCGAGTTAGGCCCACGGAGGGCTCCTGTTCCTGAGTATAGCCCACGGCGGGCTCCTGTTCCCGAGTTAAGCCCAAGGAGGGCTCCTGTTCCCGGATTAAGCCCACGGAGGGCTGCTGTTCCCGAGTATAGCCCACGGCGGGCTCCTGTTTCCCTGTCTCCAGTGTCGGCTCCAGTCCCAAGACTCATTCCAGTGCCAGCTCCTCGAAAGCGCTTTGCTGTGCCTGCTCCTCCAGATCACCCTCCAGTGCTGGCTCCTCGAAAGCACTTTGCTGTGCCTGCTTCTCCAGAGCACCATGTCCCCGAGTTAGGCCCAGGGTGGGCTCCTGCTCTGTCTGCTCAGCCATGGAGGTCTTCTGCTCCGTCTGCTCCGCCCTGGTGGGTTCCTGTTCCGTCTGCTTCACCTTGGTACTCTGCTCTGCCGGCTTTGCCTCAGTTCCCAGTCTCTCCACTTCCACATGGACCTGGCCCTCCATCCCTCCCCCTGTTCCGCCTCCTATATATAAATTTGCACACATTTTTTCTTTGCAAGTATTTTACATATTTTTATTGTTTTTGTTTTTTATTATTATAATTCATTTGAAGTATTTAAAAGTTAAAAGTGTTTTCAATAATTATGTATACATTCATATATCGGGTATAGTTCACACACAGAGATAAATAAATAAATCAATACTGTCATTGATTATTCATGTTCCAAACCTGTATGTTTAACACCCACTCAGTTCCTGTTCAGATCGCCGAGTATTGTCTAGCGTTTTTCACTCTCCAAGTGTTAGCTACTTTACCAAGCCATTCCATGTTTATGTCCTGTTTGGTCTCTAGTATTGTTCTGCGTTTTCCACTCTCCTAGTGTTAGCTGCTATACGGAGCCTGTTTATTGTCTTAGCTTTGTCTTTTTCTTAGTTCCTAGTTTAGTTTAGTCTAGTCTTGCCTTGCCTGTTTTCCCGTGTATATATCGTTGCCTTTGTTTTTGGATTGCCCTGTCGTTTTGCCGTTTGGACTCTGTTTGCCCATGCCTGGACCTTTTCCTGTGTTCCTGGATTTATCCCTCTAGTCTCGCCCTCACGCCCGTTTTGGATTACTCTGCTGTCTTGCCCTCAATATAGCTGTTTGCCAATGTTTGATTTATGCCTGTTTCTGACCACGTCTCCAGAATAAAGCTTTGCACATGGATCCGCACGTCTCACGTCTCGTCAGCCCCGTAACAGAATGACTTTGTTTCTTCTGTGGAATATAAAATATATTTTAAGAACATATAAAAGCTATTTTGAGAAATGTCCCAGTGTTTTTGTCCATACAATGGAAGTCATTGGTAACCAAAACTCTTTGGATCCCAACATTCTTCAAAATGTCTTTTTTCTTTTCTACAGAACAAAGAAGTCATGCGGGTTTGGAACAACATGGGGGTAAGTAAGTAGTGACAGAGTTTTAATTTTCTGCTGAGCTATCCCTTTAAAACTACACTTCAGTCTGTTTCATCTAGGTTTTGTTTTATTAAGTGTTATTTTGTTATCAACTAATAGTCATCACAGTCTGGGACTTTACACGCATAAAATAGCAAATGATTACTTTCGGATCATATTTACTCAAGTCATGAACTCATTCAGAGCTCTACCTTTACTGAGAATCAGAGCTTGGCAGTAAACAGCCTGCTTGGGCATTTTCTTACGGTGAATTATTTGAAAGTATATTCTTTTGAAAAACTGTTTTCCATTTGCTGGAGGTGTGCAGAATCCGCAAATAAAAACCATCCTGAGGTTTGTTGCTTTTTAACCTAACACAGGTTAAATATAGAAGTTGATTCTGAGCATAAGTGAAAGTGAAAATGCTTAACTTTACAAACTCTTCAAGAGTATAAAGGCAACAGAAACTTTCAATTCAACAAACAGCCGATGTCATTGCAATAAATCTCTGCAGCCTTTATGATTGCTTCATTAGCTGCTTAACTCTGATAAAATAAGACCTTAAATCTGACCAATGCGCATCACAAGAACAGACAAGCGCACTGGGAGTAGTGTCCATAACTTTAGTCTTGCTACATTAGTTTCGGTGTGAGTAAGAGGGACTCAGTCATGCATGGCACCTATTAAAAGGCCATGAGTATCTGGCCATCTCTTCGCGGTTCACTGAGAGGAATCTGTTCTGTATCAATCATTAATCTCTGCGTATGTATATACATAGACATCGCTGTTCTCTTTCCGAAACCCTTAGGCTCTGAAAGCTTACAGATGCTGATAGAAAGGACATTTATTTTTGTCTGTGTTCCTTTTTCCAAGGTATATTTCCACAGTCCACTTGGTAGAGGGTTGGGCTGCTGACACTAATTGGTGGATAAAATAGCCTAGACGCTCTAAAAAGCAGAAGATTGAGGCTGTTTCGCAAGGATGAGTTTGCTAGCCTGAATTGCTTCAGAACTCATATTTATGCTGAGATGTTTTATACGCAGCCTCCTGATCTGGAGTCCACAAGCTCTTCATTTCAAGCTTATAGTTGATTAATAATTTTAATTAATCCTGCTCTTATAGTGTGTGTGTGTGTGTGTGTGTGTGTGTGCACGCCCACCTGTGTGTGTGTTCAAGCCCTTAAGCTACTGAAAAGGCAGACTGTTGTGCTTTTATAGATGTTTCCTGTAGTCACAGGACACTATTGACAGCTTCGGTTAAACATGGAAACATCTGCTTCAAACACAGCTGCAATGTCATAAAGGAACAGCAATTTTATAGTCTGAACATATAAATATAAACATACATTTTTTTGTTGCCACAGCAAAACACCTGAGATACAGTTATTTATTCAACTCAGTGTTTAATGTAGTTTTAATACATCATGAGCAGCACATAACCCTTAAGTATAAAGGTCAAAACAAAACCTACAAGAATGCAAACAATTTGATGAATTATTGTATTATGTAATGTTTTAGACCACAATTTGTAATGCATTGCACTGCTTCACTGAGGAAAAAAATTGGTGGTGAAGCCATTTTCACTTAGAAATTGCTAGTAAATTTCACATTTACAAAAAAAACTGCAAGTAACACATTGAATTAAACATTAAATTTGGAAGTAGAAAGAGTGAAATAGGAATTTATTTATTTTTTGAAATCATACTCCAATAAAGTTTTACAACTTTTTATTTATTTATTTGTTTGTTTGTTTTAACAACATATAGAGGACATTTGCATAAAAATATAGTGTCTTTTTCAACAGCCAGTCACTTTTAGGTCAACTACTGTCATCATGGAGCAATAGTTTGATGAAGGTCTTGCTGATAAAAATGAGTCCTCATTGTTATCAAGGTTTGGATGCATCATCTAGTTATCTAGTTAGTCCCTTCTGGTAGATGCTGTAACTACACCATTATCTGAAGTGAATAATTACATGAGGATTGCAGTTTGGTTCCCTCTCTTTCTTTCTTTAACAGTGCATATGTGATGCAGAGACTTGTGATGGCTGATGAACTTGAAATGTCCCTGCCTTCCTTATCCTTTGTAGCTCTATGTAAAAATGTCACATTTTGTCAGTCATACTGCTCCCCTTTCTCCTCTCTCAGTGCTTCCTTTTTAACCTTGTGCTGTCCTATCAAAATAAAAGCAAAATGGCCACAAAAATTTCTTTTTTTTTTAAATCTCACATTTTCAGAATAGACATAAATGCCTTGTCTGTCTTTTAAGTTTGCAACAAAAAAAACACACACACACTTTCCAAACGCTTTGCAAACCTTTTTCAAAACGTTATAACTGAAAAACTGTTAATCAAGAAAAGAAAAGAAACAAATAGGCAGTTTTCTTGCATGTTTTGTTAGTCTGATCCCAACACCATCAGATACAGCAGGGCTGTCCAAACTCGGTCCTGGAGGGCCGGTGTCCTGCAGAGTTTAGCTCCAACCCTAATTAAACACACCTGAACCAGCTAATCAAGCTCTTACTAGGCATAGAAACTTCCAGTCAGGTGTGTGGAGGCAAGTTGGAGCTAAACTGTGCAGGACACCGGCCCTCCAGGACCGAGTTTGGACAGCCCTGAGATACAGGGTCTTTGGTAGTTGTTACCATGCCAGTATTTCTTCTTCGCAGGGTATTCATTAAAATTTCAAATAATGGGAAATAAAAGAGATGGCTTACAAGAAAGGGACCACAGAGCAAATAAATATATTGAACTGAGAAGAGATAAATATTTCCAACTGATGCATTGTCTTTCCTTCTGGACATTCCTTGGAAAATATGGTCTAACAAGTCAAAATCAAAGCTAATATTTTAAATGCAACATGGTTAATGTGGATAGTGCTACTGAATTCAGCACCATGGACAGTTACTCTACAATTCTGTGGTTTATTTAAACGTGTTAAAACTCCAAAAGAAAACTCACTTGACAGACATAATTATTTCTTTCATACGCTGTAGTTACATAAGATGGCACAGACTGTAAAAAACACTCAGTTGTGGATCTTTTTGGCTTTCACATTATATTCATTCTTCTCTTTTGAAATGGTAGGCTCAGACACTCTTTTGGCGTGGGTGTAAAAGCTCGTTGGCGCTGTTTTGTGTCTCCTCATGAGTGAACTCTTGCTTAGCACTCATCTGAACACTTCATTGCTTTTGTTCTTGCATTCACAGCAGTATACTTCTCATTTCAAACCTTGCATTTGTCCAGTTCTCAGCTGAGTGAGACGGCCTAAGATCTGTCAATCTTCCTCATTCTTTGTCCAGTTTAATGCAAACCGAAAGCTCTGCTCTGACAATGCTGTGGTAAAAGTGAAGGAAATTGTTGCCTAAACTTAAAGCTAACCAGCAGAAGTAATTTCTTTCCACCAGAAAGTAGACCAAAGCTTTCAAGGTTCAAAAAAAAAATAAAAAATACACACACAAAAGTGGTCCATCTGACTTGTGCACTAAATCCTTCAAAGCAAATCTTCAAAGCCATATGACCGTTTGATTCTTGATATCATGGCAGAATGTAAACTATATTATCACCCAGCTCTTTATATAAAGTTGGACATATATACGTATATCCAACCTATACTGTATATTGTAAAGTACTATATACTATAAAGCAATTCTCAACTGCTTGATTGCTTTTATCATCGCAAAATGTAAACTGTATTATCGCCCATCTCTAATCTGCTAAATTCAAGGTGTTAAGATATTAAGGTATTACAAACAATAACATCATGATTTTCTGTACAGCTGCTTTGAATCAATGTGTATTGTATTGCACTGCAATACAGGCAATTAGTGTTGTACTAGACTTGTATGAGAAAAACAGGCTGAAATTCATTATTACCAGTGACTTCCCTACAACTCTTCAGGCAACCTAGAAAATAGCTGTTTTACATTAGCACTTCATTCAAATTGAGTTTAAAATGACCATAAAGTGTGTGGGTTGTGTGCTGAAACATGGCGTTTTCAAAAGATTTATGGCAATTTGTGCTTCCATCAGGGCAATCAGGTGGAAGAGGGCAAAATCGGTATTTTACACAAATTATGATAGATCACAGATGGCGGTCATCATGATCTCTTCTGCTCTAATAAGCTGCAATTGCTGGGCAATTGGGTGTTGGTAGATTTATATCTCTTGGAGGCACTGCAAAAATCCTGAAGTCCTGGTATTGGCTTTTTGAGTAGGAATGAGCAAATAAAAAACAATCAATGCTGATGAAATGCATATTTGCAGTTATTTTTATTTGAAGTAAGTTATTAAAACATTTTTATATCAAATATTAGTACTCATGCGTTTGTCTGGTGAACCTATATATATATATTCAATATACAAACTCGTAGAGCAGAGTTCACCAAACTTGAACATTGGAATGCAGCAGAATTCACATGAGCTTGTGTTTCCTGTATCCCACATTCGCATGCGTATATGAATGGAAGTCAGTGGAATTATGTGTAGTGTGTCCGGCCATTTATTCGTATGAATTCTTTCATTTTTCATTTATACGTCATCGTATGATCCGCATATGCCCCACTGACAGTCAAGTTTTAGGGTGGGGTTTGGGGTGGAGCTTCATGCTTTTTTTTCCCAAAATAAATCTTCATCTGAATCTTTTCAGTATGAATTCATATGAAATCACCACCTCATAAAATAGTTCAATTTTCTCATGAGCTCAGACTGGAAAAAAATATGTCTAAAAGAACCTACTATTCAGCAATAAGCACTTTTTAGCTTTAACTTTAAATTAACAAGCATTATTACATTATGCTCAACAGATTATTACTGTAGACGTGCAGTGCTGCTTATATCCATCATATCCATCGTTTGCATGTTGTGTGGTTTCACAGTAATTTCAGCTATTTATTGTCACATCACCACCGCAAAAATTGTATTCTGTGACTTCCACATAATGATGAGAAATCTGGGGTTGAATTCTTTTCTCAAAGGTGCAATGCTGTTTCTTTCAGTAAACTTTCTGGTTACAAGCCTTGCATCACATAGACCTCTAACCACAGGTAAGACATATTCTGAATTTTAAGCAGACGTCTCAATCACATACACCTTGAAAGGAACAAAGCATCAGACAGCAGATAAAATTCTGTCCAAGGCTGCTATCATATGAAGGCTGCTTGTGTTTTCGGTTCACTCTCAGATTCACTCTTAGGGATGGTTTCCACCACCAAGTCCTTGGACTAAAGTAAAAGGTCAGCTGTCTTCCCTTGGATACACTTCATATCCCACAAGCTGTCACAGACTCCAGCTTGTTCTGATTGTAGCAGAACTGCCAACAGACTAGCACTGTTTCATCATAAATTGTGAAGCACATACATGAAAGCATTGAGGACAAGTTTTTGAAAACATCAATATGCTTTTCAAAACACTGACTCGTTTGATTTTAGCTTCAGGAAAAATCCAAACACGTACCTATTTATACAATTCACAGCAGTTTCCAGCTGAAATAAACACTGGTGGCAGTAAAACACCAAGAACTTTTATTCCTGTTTGCACCAATTGATAACAGAAGTAGATTATCAATGATTAAGACTCATTTTCATGCGGTTCCTATAACAATTCTATGTTATAACCTCAAAACACTTTTATCATAGCGTATAATTTGCTAAATAATATATTTTGACACATCACATAACCGGCTCTATGGCTTTTCTGACATGGTAAACTTGCTTGGTAGCTCACCTGGTACAGCATTGCTCTTGCAAAAACGTGAAACATGGGTTATAACACTTGATAAATGAGATCAAAGACTCGAAAAAGATTGCTCAAATGTCATGGTTGCTGCAACAAAAGTGTTCTCACGTTTGCTTTTGTTAACACTACCAGTTAAGTTTAGGGTAGTGTTTAGTGTAGATGGTATCTTACTTTCGATAAAGTGTTAACCATTTATAGCCACTCATTAGACATTTTATTTCTGAACTGCCATGATATGTACAAAACCAACATAATAAAACACTTCAGTGCCACTCATTGGACATTTCACTTTGAAAGTGTCACAAAATGTGCAAGAAGCAATGTAATATCATTTTGCAGAAATTACAACATAGGCACTTTTCCAGACAATTACAATGAAAAGCACCATTAAAAACGAGGTAAAAGTGTATTAAATTAAGTTTCTTAATTAAGTCCAATTCTCTTAAAGGGATAAAAATTCAAATTCAAAATATTGAAATGAGTGGATGGGATATTCCTCAAAAATGTATTCCGTTTTTGGTTTAACTATTGCCAAATGGAGAATGGAAAATGAATGAAAATAAAAAAATGTCTGTATGAAAATGAATAACTCATTTTTATTTTTGTACATGAAGCAAACAAAATAAATAAATAAATAATATACATACTGATCGATCTAATAAATGACTTTCATGCATGAAACCAATCTTACATAACGTTTATACTTGTTTATTAAACTGACCTGCAATACAGGCTATTATGTTTGTTTTCCCAATGTTCAATGTTTTTATACCCACACCCAGTGCTTGAAGTGGAAAAAAAGTGCAGGTACTCCTCCACTCCTCCCCTTCTGCATTAGCGCTGTTTTGAACTTATTTATTACTATTGCATTCCCTTACTGGATCCTTGAACTTTCCAGAAGTTCACCCGTTTCAAATGACCTCCAGGGTAGTGTGCTTTATAGTGTCATTTCTAATCACCCGGACACTGACGCTTGTCAGCGTCAGAACACGTCAGAAGTGCCGGTATGCACGAAAAAGTTCCAGTACGCTAAAGACTAAAATATTGAAGACTTCGTACAGGCCCACTTCAAGCACTGCCCACACCAGAGCCAAAGGGCGCATGCCTCCAGGCTTTGGGTTGCCGCACATGTTTATAGCTTTAATCATGCCCTTCAGAGTAATATGCACAGTTATTTAACAGCCACTTCTTCAAACGCCTGCATGCAAGGGTCCTATTATTCTAAAAGTCCCAAATGTTATTGAACTAAGCTCAGTGCTACTTCTGAGCCCTAATAGGCATGTTTTAAGTTCTGTCATATTAAGTTTTCTTTCATCTCCGTGGTTGCCGCTTTGTAGTCATTTAATAAAAAAGTTACAAGAGACTTCTTGGTAAATAAATCTGTGAATGTATTGCCAAACCAGTGTCATTCTTGCAATTGGTGACAAATAGGACCTCTCTGTGATTACAATAGATAGAGGAGCAGAATGAATTTGAATTGAATTATATCTGAATTGATTGTTGTGCATGAGAGAACACAAGAGCAGTAATCTGCATTTTTGGGGCCACTATGAAAGTCATGACAGTAATTGCTTTTGCTTCATTCCTTTAAGGTTTCAGCTGGTTATTTGCATTTTAATTCCTGTGATATCGCATCTGATGTGCTGCTGATATTTTAATTTAAGGGCTGTTTGACGGAAATCTTTCTCAGATCTGGACCATATTGTTCCTTCACTCTGAGTTTGTCTTCCACAGGATTGTTGTTCTCTTTTAATATCATTGCAGTTATTATAGCATAAATAAATGTCATAGTTATGCCAAAGTAAGATAACATTGTATTGCCTTTACAATGTACCTGAAGTAGAATAGAAAGAACCGAAGAGAAATTGACTGATTACAAAGGTTCGAAGTTCAAGAAACCAGAAACTCGTCTCTGATGCAAACTGCTGAATTTCAGATATGTTCCTACTTTAATATTTTGTTTGTTTAGACAGCATGGAGAGGTTTGATAACTGCAATGAAGCTAACAACTGTTGTTAACCTGTCCTTATTTTGTAGAGGACAGTGTGAAAAGTATCTTCAGAAGCATATGTGGGCATCTGGGGTCAAAGTCAATGACATGACTGATGAAACGAAAGTTATGGCAACTGTATTAGAGATGAGATTCAATATGTTTGGACTTGTATTTCATTGTGAATTGACTGGCTTTGTTTAAATGTTTATTAAAATGACACCATATCTTTATTTTGGGTATTCAGGAACAATTTTTGCATATTTTCCAACTGTAATTGTATGTATATATGTTGATTATATTGCTTGTATATAATAATAATATTGTATTTAAAAATAAAAAATAATATAACTGGGCCATAAAGGGAAACAATGGAAACTTCTCCCGCTCAAAAATTCACGCCTGGTATTGGCCAGTCCACCCAGAATAGAAACCCTCAAAAGTGATTAGCCCAAAATGATCTTTGCTCAGAAACCCTCTTCGTTTGAGACGACACTTTTCCAAGACTCTCAAGATTTTCCTCTTGAGTTTTGATTTTAC